TAGGCGATGTAACCAGTTGTGTCAGACCATATGCCAAGGCAAAGTCATAAACAGATCTCCCCGCATGATCGGTTAAACGTGAACCGAGCCATTCGGCGTGGTGGGCGTTAAAATCGCCAAGGATCACGATCTCTGCGGATGGGACCTGTTGTAGCAAGGAATCTGTAGCCATTTGGACGTAGTCGATGAGTCGGTCTGTTTCGGCATTACCGCTATGGGACCTATAGAGGCACACGTAGACGCGCGGATGGTCGTCGCTGTCTACGCGTAGCCAAAGAATGGACAGGTCCGAACCTTCAAGACTGCCGAGGCGTCGAGAACAGATGTCCTCTCTGACATACACGCAAACTCCAGCCCGAGGCACAAAGGAGTGCTCCAATTTGTACCCCGGGTAGGAGAGATACGAAGTATCAGCCGGAGAGGACACCTGCGTCTCGGTCAGAAAGAGCAAGGCCGGCTTCGCCGTCTCAAGATGGTAGTGGACGGCGTTTAGGTTCGAGTGAAGTCCCCTGATGTTGCAGAAATTCACGGATAGCGTGGCAGGGGTCGCCTTGGTCTTGTTGCTCTGTTTGCCCCGAGTAGTTATTGTGTTAAGCGGAATTTTGCCCCCCCCCAGAATACGCGGGGCAGCCTGTGCGTAGTAGTAGCATGGTCGTGGATGCTCAGTGAGGGATTCTCCAGGGGTACTGGTACCCTCCTGGGGTAGTTTATGACGTAATTCCTCTACCATGTTGATGGGGGGGGGGGGGAATTGGGCCTCCGGTCACCTGCACTCACCAGACGAAACGCGGAAGCAGAGCTTCCACTTCACGCCGGTATTCTGTGAGGTCGTGGTACTAACCCGGCTCGAGCCGGCCCATACGTGCAACAGCAAAAGCTGCTGCGTGGCTCTACCACAGTCATTTTGCACAACTCGTTCACAAGAGTCATGTTGCGATGGCTTCCTTATACAAGTGCGGCTTCGGAACTTTAAACCACCTGCTTCGGATTATTATTTGTTCCTAAATATGAAAAAAGAACTTCGGGAGAAAAAAATAAACACATGACGAAGAAGTGAAGTCGCCAATTTCTGTCTATTTTGAGGGCCTTGACTAAACATTTTTTTTGAAGGTATAAATAAGTTATATGAACGGTCTGAGAAGTGAATTCGCGTTAATGGAAAATGAATCGAAAAGGAACACCACATTCGAGATACCTCACCAAGATGCTCCAAATAGCCGTCAACCGCCTAGGCGATTGGTTCCGCTTATGGAGAATCGAAGTCAACCCTGAGAAAAGTGTAACAATACGTTTTCAAAGGGTCTCCACTTTAAATCGTCAAATAAGAAACCCCAAGAAAAAGTTCGGTACGATCACCTTATACGGCTGCCAGATCCCCTGGCAATCAACAGCCAAATATATAGGGGTCACATTTGACCACGGTATGACATTCGCGAAACACATTCGTGATGTCCGCAACCGCACCAAATTTGTCACTAGTCGCCTCCATCTGCTAGTGAGCAGACTGTCCTTAAGACACAAACTCCATCTTTATAAAGCGTGCGTAAGACCTATCAGGTCTTTATATCATGATTATCCTCTACAAGAGAAGGTAAGTCATTAATATACTCTAGAAATAGGAATGGACCGAGAATCGAGCCCTGAGAGACACCCATTAGTACAGGTGAGCCGGAAGAACTTTTACCATTGATAATAACTTTCTGCATTCTATTACTTAAATATGAAATAATAAGTTTAAGCGCTGTGTTCTTGACACCATAGTACTGTAGCCTGTCTCATGGTGAACGCAGTCGAAGGTCTTGGAAAGGTCACAAAATATACCCAAAGCATCCTCTGAATTCTCCCATGGACAAAAAATATGTTTAATAAGCTCAACTCCAGCGCCAGTTGTCGAGCGACCCCTTGTAAAACCGAATTGATTTCTATGTAGCAATTTATTAATATTAAAGAAACTTAACATCTGATCTAAAATTATTTTTTCAAAAATTTTACTAAATGTTGGTAGTACAGAAATTGGTCTAAAATTGGCGCGGTCTAATGTACTACCAGATTTAAATAAAGGTATGACTTTACTATGTTTCATTAAATCAGGAAACACACCACATTCGACGCTTGTATTAAATATAGTTTGCTAGATAAGATAAGGTGCTATTACATCTATTATAGATAAAATAACTTTAACGGAAATCCCCCATAAATCTGCCGTTTTCTTAACATCAATAGTTTTAAAATATTTAACGATATCTTTTGACAGTACTCTATGGAATTTAAAAGTATTTGAAAAAGCCTTTACATTTTGTTTGAGGAATGATTCGGCGAAAGTAGGAGAAGAGTTTAATGATTTAGTTGTCAAAAAGGAACATCAGTAAAATGTTTCTCAAAAGCCATAGCAACTTCTTGATCGGATCGAGTTAAATTATTGTTAATATTGAATTGAAAATCCGAGTTGCGTGGTTGGACCTTGCCCGTTTCACTATTTATTATTCTCCAGGTCATTTTAATTTTGTTAGATGCAGTTTTAATTTTGTTACTTAAATGTAAAGCCTTAGCTGTGGCGCACACTTTTTTAAATATTTTAGAATATGTTTTTACATAATCTCTAAATATAACACTACTATTATATGATCTTTCATTATAAAGCTCGTATAACTTTCGCCTACACTTATAAATTCCTACTATCGCCCATTCATTAAATGATTTGCGACTGTTAAAAGAGAAAGTTTTAGAAGTAAATATCCTACTAAATTCACAAGTTATAATTTTAAAAAACGTACCATACAAATAATTAGCACTGTTTTTAAATGAAAGTGATGGAAGTCTTTTTATTATATTACTTCTAAACCTCTCGAAGCGATGTTCATTTATTGTAACAAACACAACTTTCTTATTTTTCTGTTTCTTGTGTAAAAAGGCAATGATACCAACTGTCCACAGTGATCTGAACTTAAATTTTGAATAATTGATTTATGCAAGGGCATCTATAAAAATATTACCTATACAGGTCGCACTAGGTCCAGCAATACATGTTGGTTCTAAGAATAAATTAACAAGATTATACGATTTAAACAATGAGCTAAACTTAATACTAATGGAGAAGTTTCAAGGAAATTGATGTTAAAGTCTCCACACATTACAACAGACTTGTTCTGTTTACTAAGTTTGAGCAAAACTTCTTCCACAATCCTTTCAAAATAGTCATAAGTAGCACATGGGGGTCTGTAAAAACTTACAACAATGAGGGGCTCGCGCTCGACACAAGCCATTTCTACAGTGTGCTCAACAGAGAGGCTCGCTATATCCTTACGTTCTGTATATAATAATGATTTATCTGCTAGTATGAAGGAGCCACCACGTAAACTTTTTTCTCTATTGAAGGAACTGACCACCTGGTAATTTCTGAAATTAAACATGAAATAATAATCTTTTAGCCAATGTTCAGTAATACATTAATTCATACAATAGACAGTCATACAATTCAACTTTTAATTCTTTGCCCATCATGCCTTGTATATTTTGATGCACCAGGTGTAAACAATTTTTATTACTTATTTGTGGGCTGCATTCAAAGTTAATTAAACTCTTATTATTGCTAGAGATTGCCTCTATTGTCGCATTTAAATTAGTTGGAACTGATTCCAAATTAATTGTCAAATAATTATCCTGCCCAATAAAAGCAATCTTGGTAGCCAAAAACTTGGCTGAGTTAAAAAGTAAATAATAAGATAGCACATTTGCTATCAGTCTTAAATTATATTTGGATAGGTAATACCAATCTTTTGTCCAAAACTTTTTTATTAAATTATTTATATCAACTAAATGAAATTTGTCATTATTATCATTACAATTATATGTCAAATTTAAATTATTGTTACATATTAAATTATTCATTTGTATATTTAAATTATGTCTTAGATTATTTTCCCGTGGCAATCCCTGTATGTAAGGCAGTGTGAACAAGACAATTTTGTGTACATTTAAGTTATTAAGTTGCTCAATATATCTTAATAACTGTTTGTTGTTTACACTGCCTCTTCTACCAACAAAAATTATTGTTGTACTATTTGGGCAAAATTTAGTAACTATAATTTTATTTAGGATGTCACTAAAAGATTCTCAAGGCATGCAGCAATTTGTAGTTTTTTTGTTCCTTTAAAGAGTAATTTAAAGTTATGCCTAGATTTTTTCCTACGTCATCGCTATACACAATTATATTATTTTTGTTAATATAAAAGTGTGAGTGGCAGCCTCGTACCGGTAGGCAAAGTGTAGGGTGACCCCCCACGAGATGGAGTGACGACCTGGTAAGACCTGCAGGAAGTCGATGGATGCAGGTGGCTCAGGACCGTGCTTTGTGGCATTCCTTGGGGGAGGCCTATGTCCAGCAGTGGACTTGTGAAAGGCTGTAATGATGATAATGATGATATAGTTTGTATAACTATTAATGTAAAATTTGCTTTTAAAAAAAAGTCTTGCTGGGTTTCTTGCTGGTTCTTCCCAGGACAGAGGTTTTTTTTCGAACCAGTGGTAAAGTAAAAAATGACTTTCAATAAGAATTACACATGTGATCTATATTGAATAAAAAATTATTCTATACTATTCTATTCTAATTATTATGTTATTCCTGTATAGGGCAGTTACTATACTCTTTGTTGTGTTCTGTGCGTGTGCTCCTATTAAATCGTTTGACATCCAAAGAAGAAATATAATTATTTTGACGCTGTTGTTCAAATTTAAACACACATATCCCTGGATATTGTGTATTATCTATGCACATATCACTATGTTGAATTGTATCTAAAAAGGTCAAAATGTTTGAAATGTCGTTTTTTGACAGTTAATTTTAAGATATGTACTTTGTTTCACATTTCTAAAATCTAAATCATAAAATGTTGTTATAAAAAATAGTTATTCCTTAAACGTCGGGATTTTCGAACCCGAATAGTAATGCATAAAAGTTTCAAAGAACGCTAGTAAAGAAGACGATTTCATACGTCATAAAAATGGAATATAACAGAAGAAACCGTAAGAGAAAAGGCCGATCCGGATTTTCAATATCTTCAAATGGATTAACCAGACAGTCTTCAAATAAATCTTCACTTTCTTTGAACGGCCTCTGCAGTTACTTTATCATATCAATTTTAATTCTTACTATTTATTTGTTGCTTGAATATTATTGTAATACTTGCAATTCAAAATGCGATTTATATAATATCACAAAGAATATTGAAAATATAGCGGTTAGTTACAAACGTTAATATTTATTTATATTTTTTTAAGTAAATGTGCTGTGCAGTGAAGGTGTAAGAATATCACATACTCCTTATCAATTTCGTTACAGTTTATTCAAGTCCACTGCTGAACATATAATTGACTTTCCCCATAGATTCTCTCATAGGGGGGATGTTTGCCATAGTTGTCGCGCTTGGCAAACGGGTTGGCAATCACAGTTTTTATTTTTTCTCTTTATTGGGAAGATGCTGCTGCCCATCTCCTGATTTGTTTTCTTCTGTCGCCTCCTACGAAACCCACGGAATGATATGGGGTAGTGTATATTCTTACACCAGTAAGCTTATCAATTCGTGGGGGTCATAATAGGCAATAGAGACAAATTGAAACAGGAAATGGGCAACGGTATCTTCCATATAGCAATTGAAAATAATAAAAAACTGTAGTTGCCAACCCGGCTACCAATTGTGGCAACTATGGCAAAATTTCCCCTGTGAGGCATTCTATACGAGGAGAGGTCAAAATGTTAACGGAATGAAAGGGAAAGGGGGTGAAATTAAACATGAAATTATACATGAAATTATTTTTCCTTATCGATATATTTTCCATTAACCCGAATTCACTTCTCAGACCGTTTATACAACTTATATCTTCAAAAACAATGTTTAGTCAAGGCCCTCAAAATAGGCAGAAATTGCCGATTTTACTTCTTAGTAATGTATAAATTTCTTTCTCCGAAGTTCTTTTTTTATATTTGGGAATAAATAATAATCCGAAGAGGCCAGATCTGGACTATCTGGTTTAAATTTCCGAAGCAGCACTTGTATAAGGAAGCCATCACAACATGACTCTTGTGAACGAGTTGTGCAAAATGAGTACACCTCGAGACCACTTCCCCCTTCTTTTAAAAAAAAGACAATTAAAGAAACAATGGGAAAGTGAACTCTTTTAATTTTTTAAGTAGCGTAGCGTAATACTGTTCCGTGATATCGACCTTTACGACCTTACCTTTATCTTTATAATCGATCAATAAAGTCCCCTCTGAATCCCGAAAAACTGAAACCATAATCTTTCCAGTCAATTGTGATACCTTGAACTTCTTCGGCGCGACTGCGTCTTTTTTATGCCATCGCATGGACTCATGCTTTGACTCGGATTCATAGTGATGAATCCACATTTTATCTCCAGTCACAATTCGGTTCATAATTACGTCCCTGTTCTCACTACAAAGGTCCAATTACGTTTTCTCCAGTTGTTTCTGCGATCTTTTGTTTCTTCAGACGAGCATCTTCAAGAACATGTTTTCCGACAATGTCTGAGGAAGTTGCCTCAATCGGTCGGTCTGAGCGCCAATTGTCTTCAATTGACTCTCTGCCTTGCTTGAAAAGGTTATGACACATTTAAATCATCGTTTTTCCAGGGCAAGAGTCCCCGTAAACAGATGACATCTCTCCCATAATGATATGTGGTGTTTTTACTTGCTTAGTGAAGAACTTAATCACGGCACGAAACTTAACTTTTTCCATCGCAAGTGATCATTTACCGATTGACTTGTTTATCTTGTGATATCTCAAAGGATAATGAACCGATCTGGCTGAAACTTGGTATAGTTGTATTGAGTCACCAAATTATGGCAGTTAAAAAAATCCACCATCTCCTCTTTAACCCTTCCATTCCGTAAACATTTTGACTCGTCCTCGTAGAAGAGGACTATGTTTAGCTGTGTACTTTTAGTGGAAGTGATAAGTGATTTATGAATGACGTAGAAGTATTTTCTTTATTTATAAAAATATAGGTATAGTAAAATGGAAGGGAGATAAAATATTTTGTTTTAATTTTGTGCAAAAGGAGCACAATTACACACAATATTTTATTTTATTTATATTTATATCATTATACTTCATCTATCATCACTTTAATTTATATAGTTTATCTTAGACTTACTATTTTAAAGCTCCGACTGACAAAGAAAGAGATGCAGAGCGCTGTATACATTTCACTTGATCCCGAAAACATGTTCAACTTCTTGACACGCATTTTCTCACATACATCTTTCACATTCTGTACGCAGCGTTCCATCCTTCCTTCTTTGTTTTCAAAGCAAATTCAATTTTCAATCTATTTTATTATATTTTTCAGAATAATTTATCATTTATGAAAGACAACTATCGAGATTTAGAAAAACGAGTTACAAAATTTTCCCAAGAATTTCCAAAATTTGAAGGACAGCTCGAGATTCTAGAAGCTCTTGCAAATACAATGGAAAATGGTGACTTCGGCTGGAATCCTAAAATTCATCTGCCTTTGCCTAATGTAGATGTATCTCTAAATAAGCCTAAAAGTACAACAGGGAAGAAATTTGGCAATAGTAGTGCTCATAATATAAAATTTGTTGATGTTGACATTGATTAGCAATCTAAACCACTTAAAAGAACGACAATTAAAAAAATACATACTTCTGCGTGTATTATTACTATTTGCTCGAAAAAGATTAATATTAAGCCACCAATACACATATTTACTGTAAGTTTTTTTGGTACTAATATTACAAAAAAATTGTATTTTTTTTTAACCTATAAACTGTGTCAAGAAAATTCTTCAAAAACCTTAATTTCCCCTTTAGATCCCGAGAAGAAGAAAAGTATAGAAAAGAAATTTAAACGTTTTTTGGTAAATATTATATATATTTAAGTTGCCGTGTAGTGGCGGTCAAGAATATCCACTACCCCATATCCTCCCGTGGGTGTCGTAAAAGGCGACAAAGGGAAACAGGCAGGAGATGGGCAGCAGCATCTTCCTGATAATAGCCAAATTACAATAAAAAAAAAACTGCGGTTGCCAACCCGCTCGCCAAGCGTGGCAACTATGGCAAATACCCCCCTATGAATAACAGTAACGAAGAAACGGCCCCCAGTCCCCGGCGGCCCCGCTATTCCTGGCTACGGTGGCGACCATGGTAACGGCGGGGCAGGGGGTGCTAAGAATCTCCGGTGGAGGTTCGGTTGCCACCTTAGACGACTCGACCTGGCAACGTATAACGCACGCACCCTGAGGACTGACGAGAAGATCGTGGAGCTGGAAGAAGAGATAGACAAGTTGCGCTGGCATATTATAGGATTATCCGAAGTCCGAAGAGAGGGGGAGGACACGGTAATCCTCGAATCCGGCAACTTGCTCTATCACCGGGAGGGCGACCATCTATCCCAAGGAGGTGTCGGATTTATCGTCCACAAGTCTCTCGTTAACAACGTTGTAAAGATCGGGAGTGTGTCGACGAGGGTTGCGTACCTTATACTCAGAATCACCAAACGGTATTCGCTGAAGGTCATACAGGTTTACGCACCAACCTCGGCACACCCCGATGAAGAGGTGGAGGAAATGTATGAGGATATCTCTAGAGCCATGCATTCCTCCAAAACCCAATATACGGTGTTAATGGGAGACTTCAATGCAAAACTAGGCACAAGAGAGAACGGTGAGCTGAAAGTAGGGAAATTTGGAATAGGGCAACGGAACCCAAGGGGCCAGCAGCTGGCCGACTTCATGGAGAAAGAGGGACTCTTTATGATGAACTCTTTCTTCCAGAAGCGGCCCCACAGGAAGTGGACCTGGTCGAGCCCCGACGGTTCCACAAAAAATGAGATTGACTTCATTATGATGACCAGACGACAACTGTTCAGTGATGTCTCCGTGATCGCGAGGGTGAAAACTGGTAGCGATCACCGAATGGTTAGAGGCACACTGAACCTAAACGTTAAGTTGGAGAGGTCTCGTCTAATGAAGTCAACGCTCCGTCCCCCTCGTGCTCTGTTCCAAAGTCCCGAAACCTTTCAGCTCGAGTTACAAAACCGTTTTCAGTGCCTGGAAGACTGCAATGAAGTGGACGATATGAATGACAAGCTCGTGGAAACTGTCCATGCGGTCGGAGCTAAGGTCTGCAAGACCCGCCGCAGAAGAACACAAAAATTCTCCGATCACACTCTTAATCTCATGGCTGTTAGACGGGAGATGAAGCTACATTCTTCAACAGACTTGACAGCATACAGGCATCTGAACAGACAGATCTTCAAATGCATGCGGCGGGACTTACGCAACTTCAATACAGCTCGTATTGAAGAAGCGATCGAGCGGAACCAAGGCTCCAAAGTCTTTGCCAGAGATCTGTCTGCCAGAAAGAGCCAACTGTCAAAGCTGAAGACAGAATGTGGCAGCATCGTTTCCACATCATCGTTGGAGCCACACGCAAGTGTGAGTAACGATCCAAGAGCGAGTCTCATCCGACACTATTCCGAAGATATCCCGGATGTCAGTCTGAGCGAGATTAGGATGGCTCTCCAGCACCTTAAAAACGGTAAGGCCCCAGGCGAGGATGGAATTACAGCGGAGCTTCTGAAAGCGGGTGGAAGACCGGTACTTGAAGTCCTTCAAAAGCTCTTTAATTCCGTCCTCCATGGTGGCATTAAACCCGAGGGGTGGAGCAGAAGTGCGGTGGTCTTTTTCTTCAAGAAATGTGACAATGCTCTCTTGAAGAACTACAGACCGATTTCCCTTCTGAGCCGCGTCTACGTGCTGTTTTCGAGAGTCATTACGAATCGTCTCGCGCGCAGACTTGACGACTTCCAGCCTCCCGAACAAGCCGGTTTCCGAAAGGGCTTTAGCACCATAGACCACATACATACCCTTCGGCAAGTTGTACAGAAGTCCGAAGAGTACAATTTGCCACTATGTCTGGCGTATGTGGACTATGAGAAAGCCTTTGATTCCGTCGAAATTTCGGCGATGCTGCAGTCCCTTCAGCGGTGCCAAGTTGACTGTCGGTATATCGAAGTGTTCAAGTGCTTGTACAGTAGGGCTACGATGACTATCCGAGTACAGAACCAGAGTACGAAACCTATCCAATTGCAGAGAGGTGTAAGACAGGGTGACGTCATATCCCCGAAACTCTTCACCGCTGCATTGGAAGACGTTTTCAAGCTTCTGGACTGGAAAGGATACGGTATCAACATCAATGGCGAGTACATCACTCACCTTCGATTTGCCGACGATATAGTCCTTATGGCAGAATCGCTGGAGGACCTAAGCACTATGCTCAATGACCTCAATAGTGTTTCCCAACGGATAGGTCTTAAGATGAACATGGACAAAACAAAGATCATGTTTAATGTCCACGTCACACCTATGCCGGTAGTTGTTGGGAGTACTAAGCTCGAAGTTGTTGACGAGTATGTTTACCTGGGACAAATAGTCCGACTAGGTAAGTCCAACTTCGACCGAGAGGTCAATCGACGGATTCAACTCGGCTGGGCAGCGTTCGGGAAGCTACGACACATCTTCTCGTCAGACATACCTCAAAACCTTAAAACGAAATTGTACAACCAGTGCGTGTTGCCAGTGATGACTTACGGAACTGAGACGTAGTCCTTCACTGCTGGCCGTATGAGGAAGCTCAAGGTCGCTCAGCGAGCTATGGAGAGGGCTATGCTCGGAGTTTCTCTGCGTGATAAACTTAGGAATGAGGATATCCGCAGTAGAACTAGAGTGACCGACATAGCCCAACGGATTAGTAAGCTGAAGTGGCAGTGGGCCGGCCATATAGCTCGAAGAACCGACAACCGATGGGGAAGAAAGGTTCTCGAGTGGCAGCCTCGTACCGGTAGGCGAAGTGTAGGGCGTCCCCCCACGAGATGGAGTGACGACCTGGTAAGACATGCAGGAAGTCGATGGATGCAGGTGGCTCAGGACCGTGCTTTGTGGCATTCTTTGGGGGAGGCCTATGTTCAGCAGTGGACTTGTGAAGGGCTGTAATGATGATGAAGTTGTAAGAAACGGATTAGTAAGCTGAAGTGGCAATGGGCCGGTCATATAGCTCGAAGAACCGACAACCGATGGAAAAGCAAGGTTCTCGAGTGGCAACCTCGTACCGGTAGGCGAAGTGTAGGGCAGCCGCCACTGGTAGGAGTAACGACTTGATAACACATGCAGGAATAAAATATGGCTCAGGACCGTGCTTTGTAGTATTTCTTGGGGGACCTCTATGTTCAGCAGTGGATTTGTGAAGGGTTGTAATGATGATAATGAAGAAGTTTTAGGAAAAGTAATCTTTACGTAGTAGAGCCATGCTGCATCTCGTCGTTATGACGTCTTACATCGCCACTTCATAGTTTTCTTACTTCATATTATAATTTAAATGTATGCTTTAAAGCATTTTTTGAATGTCATGTTGCATTCGTGCAGAAACTGTTCAGAATTGATAAGAATATTAAAATATTTGTTTTGTAAATCATCCGATCATTATTCATTATTACAGCCCTTCACAAGTTCACTGCTGAACATCGGCTTCCCCTAAGCAATGCCACAAAGCACGGTAAGTTAAGAGCTACCTGCATCCATCGACTTCCTGCATGTCTTACCAGGTCGTCACTCCATCTATTGGGGCGACGCCCTACACTTTGTCCGCCGGTACGAGGCTGCCACTCGAGAACCTTTCTTCCCCATCAGTTGTCGGTTTTTCGATCTATATGGCCGGCCCACTGCCACTTCAGCTTACTAATCCGTTGGGCTATGTCGGTCACTCTGGTTCTACTGCTATATCCTCATTTCAGTTTATCACGCAGAGAAACCCCGAGCATAGCCCTCTCTATAACTCGCTGAGCGACCTAGAGCTTCCTCAAACGGCCAGCAGTGAAGGAGCACGTTTCAGTTCCATAGGTCATCACTGGCAACACGCACTGGTTGTACAGTCTCGTTTTCAAGGTTTGAGGTATACCTGACGAGAAGATGTGCCGTAATTTCCCGAACGCTGCCCAGCCGAGTTGAATCCGTCGATTGATCTCTCTACTTGCACTTGCCTAGTCGGACTATTTGTCCCAGCTAAACATACTCGTCAACAACTTCGAGCTTAGTGCTCCCAACAAACAATCCGATAACTCTAATTATTATTAGTAGAGGCATTCATCAATAGTTATTAGAGCAAATACGCTTTACCATCTTAATTCTGTACCGGGTATAGAAGAACGAGCTGGAATATGGATGGGGTAAGTGATCGTTTACTTTCAGGTTTTTTTATAGGATAAGGATGGCAAACGAGCACACATTCCACCTGAATGTAAGTGGTTACTGTGGCCGGTAGACATCTACATCAATCCTCGATTACAAATTAAAATGCAGATGCATTGTCACCCATGTGGACTAAGATGAAATGCCTCGTGTCCAGTAAAAAGGGTCTCCGGTTATCTACACTAACCATACGAAGCCTTAAGCTGCTATTTTATAGGATAAGGATGGCAAACGACCACACAGTCCACCTGATTGTAAGTGGTTGCTGTGGCCCATAGACATCTACATCAATCCTCGATTATGTGTTAAAATGTAGATGTGTTGTCACCCGTGTGGACTAAGATGAAATGCCTCGTTTCCAGTAAAAAGGGTCTCCGGTTATCTACACTCACCATACGAAACACAGCAGCGTTAAGCTTCTATTTTACGCTGGTATAGAGTGAGTGAGCTGTATATACTCTGCTATATACTGTACATACCTTGTTAGCTTTACAAATAATAATTAATGTTAATGCACCTAAAACCCACTAATGGCTAAAAATGCCGTAGCATAACTTGCGCAATTAGAATTTTAATAATGGGGTAGGTAATAAAAAACATGTAACCGGCTTCTATTATTTTTCCCGGGTTCGATACCCGCCGGCAACAATGTAATTGGTAATTGTAATTTTAAGTGCTCACTTATCACTTCCTCGGCAGTGAAGGAAAAGATCGTGAGGGAAACTGCATGTCTGCGAAATAAGAAAAAAAATATTTCGAAGACATGTGAAGTTCGCCAACACGCAATGGAACAGCGCGACGGACATTTTCTTGCCCTAAAACCCTCTCAGAAGTGAGAGGATTTTATTATTAATTTGAGGAGAGGCCTGGGCCCAGCAGTGGGACGTAAGTAGGCTGTAACTTATTTTTCAGGCATTTGTGAAACTTATTAGGACCACTGCGTAATGCGAATGCTAATCATACTTTAAAATTTTTTTTCGATAACCAAAACTAACCGAAGAGGTTTTGAAAATCGTTTATATTTACTTTCCATGCTTTCTAATGAATAATTGATATAATATAATTTATTATTTTTATCAGTGGTACATAATTGTCAATTTATGTTATTTATAATTTATTGATAAATTTTATTAGAGCTTTTCATACGTTTCTTTAAATTAAATATTTATAATAGGATAAGTTGAATAATTATGTGTGGCAACATTGCAAATAACAACCATTATCATTACAGCCCTTTCCAAGTTTTCAAGTCCAAATATTTGAAATAGACGGGAAACGGTAGGACAATATTCTTTATAATTTATTAATATTTTATAGTAGTAATAAGTATAATTATTTTTCCGTTTGTGCGTTGGTAAACCTATTCAATGTTTGTAACGCTCAAATTTTGTACTGCTTAAATTATTTTATGCAATTATACCATTACCTTAAATCACATTTACCACAAACGAAAAGTGAATTCAAGCAGTGTGGGTGTTGCCATTTGAAATGACCGCGTGTGTAAAGCAGCAATGGGATAAGCGAAAGCAAAGATCACGATAATTATTTTGCCTAAAGAAAAAGAGAGAAGCATGTGAGAGAGAAGCAACGGTGGACTAAAGGCGTCAGCAGGTTGCTGCTGATAATAAAAAGTTTAGAATCATATTAAAAGAGGAAGAGGTCAAGAATTCCCGAAAACTGTAATTTGCTTTATAACTGTTACTACAAATTTGGCCAATTAATTTTAAAAATAAGTGATTTTCTTTATAAAATTTATTCAAATTAAATTTTTTCACCAATTCTGTAAAATGTTTAGATATCATTTTTACAATTTCTGATCATCTGCTTAATGTCCTCGTTGGTTTATATGAAATTCTTTATTTAGGTAATCTGAAATTTCTTCTATGCTTGGGGGCTAATGTCAATAAGCATAATTTTCTTCAACCTTAATATCGTGGAACGTATTTTCGTCCCATTTTTCTGTACGTTTACCATTGATAAAAGATTTCGATAATTGTTTTGTACTCAATTCACTTAAATCTTTACTGACTTTATCATATTCACTACTTATAATGCTGAGGGTGTCCTGGAAACAGAATTATATATGAAGTGATGATTTCCTTTAAATTGATCTCGATTGCTGTGCCAGGTTTGTAGCATTTTTATGCAAAGTTCGAGTTTTATGCAAATATTTTTCTTGTTTCGTCCGTTTTAGAAAAAATCGCCGTAATCGCCACGCTGCAAATGACAACAGCCTACGGGACGAATCTTCCATTACAATATCTAAAGTGGTGCCTGCTGCAGTTGCTTGCCGCTCGCTTCGCACAATGATCAATACTCGGGCCCTTCAGTTACTGTTATTTTTTTTTTATAGAATAGTTTGCTAACGAGCATGCGGTTCACCTAATGGTAATTGTATACCGCCGCCCATGAACAACTGAAACACCAGGGAAATTGCAGGTAACTCCATAGATACAATTTCGAATACGTTTTAGAAAAACACATTAGGTATAAAAAACTATTAACTAATAATCCTATAAATTTATGATAAATAAAAAATATCCTGGAGAATAATGTCCAAAAATATCGTATTGTCACCCTAACGGGTGTGTTTGCATAGAATTAATATAGTGTGATTATCTTTAATAATAAGGTATCAATATACATTCAAACTTCCCTATTATTTAGTAGAAAACCTTTTACTAAAAGTAAGAACACTAACTACATCCTATATTCCTTTCGTCAAACAGCAACCGATATACGAGTATGTCTGGAGACGTGGAATGAGGGATCAGTTTTAACAGTGGCTATATTTAAATCGAGCCAATATTCCTTAGCCTTATTTCTTTTTCTACTAAAACTTTAACAAGAAAAAAGTACTAACAGTTTAAGTATTTCTTTTTTTTATCTTTAACACTTTGTCTTGTTAATTAGTACAATAAGATTCTGTACTAAATACCTGTCATCACATTAACTTCATTTTTAAGATACTTTCTGATATCTTGCTGGTAGACTGTGTTAACTGAGCGACCACACTTTAAGGGCTGTTACTTTTTATAAATTCTTTTACAAATTCCAGGATTCGTTCTACAATTGTATTTGGCCTGCTACTAAATCCTTAGCAATTAATTTCGCGAATTCCCGGCATGGTCCCTCAGTGCTCACATACATGAATTTTTCATTACAAAAAATTAAATTTTAATATAAATTCCTACTTTTTGACACTTATTAAAAAAGATTATAACTACGTAAACATATGTAACTAAGATTAATTTAACTATATTTACCTTAAGGACGTGCAAACTGGAGTTTATTTTGCTTAGTTCTGTTCGTAAAACAAAATATTCCCAAAAGGTAACTGTTAAATGTGTCGCTATCGCTAAAACACCTAAAAATAGTACGATTTTAATGCATATCACTTTAAAGGACTTTTCCAAAGCCATTTTGACAAACTTTGTAATGTTTGTATTGTTTTGTATTTTAATGGTTTCCTGCTTATATCATCTTCATGTTTTTCTTGACATTTTGTGATTTATTTACCGTCTGTAGACAACTTGTCATAATTACATAGGTATGTGTGGGTATGTGATGTGCACAGATTAACTAGTGGTATGTGTTTCATATTATTTCGCACTATATTTTTTATTTTCATAATTACCAATCAAGAAAGAGGTTTTATTAAAATAAACCTTCTTTAGAAAATACAAGCTTAAAGGTTAAAATTGTAAGGCTAAAAGGTAAAAACTCGACTGATTAAATTTTTTACAGAAACGAGAAATATTTTATACCCTATGTCATGACACCGCATTATGTTAAAATACATCAAGCCGTTTAAGCTATACCGTGCTAAGCAAATAGATATACATACTCTCGAAAATATTAACCTCCTTCTGGGGCAGTGGGGTAAATAGTAGTACGTTTAGCAGACAGTAATGCTGATACTACATAATTATCCAACTATTCAACTATCCAAATGTTAATCCAAACCTTAGTGAACTAGTTCGAACCAGATCAGATAGCGGAAATTAATTACGCATAATTAAAACAGTGTGATATATAGAGGACCGGTCCGTAAGATTTGGAGAATCAGGTCACCCTCCTTTGACGTGGTATTGATTTATCGCTGATTGCCAGGTGGTCTCTCTTGAATTATCCAATGCGCGTGAACCAGCCTCTACGCATCGAGTGTTAGAGGGTTAGACGGTCCAAGTAGTAAATTGTGGTTTAATATCTTAAGGATATATTATAGAGTTTATATGACCGTAGTGACTGAGCGAAGCCAATTTAAGAGAATTCAGCATCATTGTCATCCCTGAGGAGACCAATTCGTATTAAAAATATTAACATTAATTAAGTTAGATCTCTTCAAACTTGGTAATATCCAAAGAGATTTAAATATATAAGTATACTACTACCACTTAAATATCTTACTATGTACTTAAATGTCTTTGGTAATATCTTAACTAGTTTAAGTCATTTTAATTTTCACACCGATCTTAACTAATTAACCTTAACATCTTTAATTTATTGGATTTCCACAAAGTAACGTCTGCTTCAAATAATCAAAAGAGATTGAAAGTTAAAAAAATATAAGTTTATGTGTATATGTTATATATATATATATATATATATATATATATGTGTGTGTGTATACACTTCTATTTATGTGAATCATTTATTAAAAAAAGGAGGAGTTATGCTATCCGTTATTCTTTCTCTTATTTATATTTGGCTATTTTTCTGGATTGTTTGGAAGACATTGCTTAAGTATGTATGCTAAAATATGTATAAATAAGACCGCCTTTTGTTTTTCTCTCAAACTTTGTTTATTTTTTTATATTTATTATTTCTTGGTGTACAATAAAGAATATTGTATTGTATTGTATTGTATTGAGGAGTCTTTTAGAATTAGGAAAGTTATGACGCTTGGTAAAAATGCGAAGCACTTATTATATTGCCTTTGTATACGTGGTAGAACCATGCTGCAGCTATAATATGGTTGAAGTACGATTGGTTCGGCTCGACCGGGGACGCTCTTACAGAATTCCAGCGTAAAAACTGCCTAATGGTCTTATGTTTCGTATAGTGAGTGTGGAGAACCGGAGACTAGGCATTTCATCTTAGTCCTCATGGGTGACAACGCATCTTGATTCTTAATCGAGGATAAATATAGATGTCTATGGGCCACAGCTTCCACTTACCATCAGGTGGAACATGTTTTCGTTTGTCACCCTTATTCTATTAAAAGATGTTATCGTCCGTGGTGTGTTGTTTTTATAGAAGAAGGGGCAAACGAGCATGCGGCTCACCTGATGACAAGGGACAAGTGTGTATTTTTAGGTGCATATATTGGGTATAATTGTGTTGGGTAAAGAGATTACAGATTAAAGAGATTATAGATTGCCGTGTAGTGGCGGTTAAGAATATCCACTACCCCATATCTTCCCGTGGGTGACGTAAAAGGCGACAAAGGGATACAGGCAGGAGATGGGCAGCAGCATCTTCCTGGTAACGGCAAAAATACAATAAAAAAACTGCGGTGCCAACCCGCTCGCCAAGCGTGGCAACTATGGCAATATACCCCCCATAAAATTTACGAAGAGACGGCCCCCAGTCCCCGGCGGCCCCGCTATTCCTGGCTACGGTGGCGACCATGGTAACGGCGGGGCAGGGGGTGCTAAGAATCTCCGGTGGAGGTTCGGTTGCCACCTACGACGACTCGACCTGGCAACATACAACGCACGCACCCTGAGGACTGACGAGAAGATTGTGGAGCTGGAAGAAGAGATAGACAAGTTACGCTGGCATATTATAGGATTATCCGAAGTCCGAAGAGAGGGGGAGGACACGGTAATCCTCGAATCCGGCAACTTGCTCTATTACCGGGAGGGCGACCATCTGTCCCAAGGAGGTGTCGGATTTATCGTCCACAAGTCTCTCGTTAACAACGTTGTAAAGATTGAGAGTGTGTCGACGAGGGTTGCGTACCTTATACTCAGAATCACCAAACGGTATTCGCTGAAGGTCATACAGGTTTACGCACCAACCTCGGCACACCCCGATCAGGAGGTGGAGAAAATGTATGAGGATATCTCTAGAGCCATGCATTCCTCCAAAACCCAATATACGGTGTTAACGGGAGACTTCAATGCAAAACTAGGCACAAGAGAGAACGGTGAGCTGAAAGTGGGAAAATTTGGAATAGGGCAACGGAACCCAAGGGGCCAGCAGCTGGCCGACTTCATGGAGAAAGAGGGACTCTTTATGATGAACTCTTTCTTCCAGAAGCGGCCCCACAGGAAGTGGACCTGGTCGAGCCCCGACGGTTCGACAAAAAATGAGATTGACTTCATTATGACGACCAGACGACAACTGTTCAGTGATGTCTCAGTGATCGCAAGGGTGAAAACCGGCAGCGATCACCGAATGGTTAGAGGCACAATGAACCTAAACGTTAAGTTGGACAGGTCACGTCTAATGAAGTCAACGCTCCGTCCCCCTCGTGCTCTAATCCAAAGTCCCGAAACCTTTCAGCTCGAGTTACAAAACCGATTTCAGTGCCTAGAAGACTGCAATGAAGTGGACGATTTGAATGACAAGCTCGTGGAAACTTTCCATGCGGTCGGAGCTAAGTTCTGCAAGACCCGCCGCAGAAGAACACAAAAACTCTCCGATCACACTCTTAATCTCATGGCTGTTAGACGGGAGATGAAGCTACATTCTTCAACAGATTTGACAGCATACAGGCAACTGAACAGACAGATCTCCAAGTGTATGCGGCGGGACTTACGCAACTTCAATACAGGTCGTATTGAAGAAGCGATCGAGCGGAACCAAGACTCCAAAGTCTTTGCCAGAGATCTGTCTGCCAGAAAGAGCCAACTGTCAAAGCTGAAGACCGAATGTGGCAGCATCGTTTCCGGGCACCTGAGATTTTGAGTGAGATTGAGAGGTTCTATGGGCAGCTGTACACGTCATCGTTGGAGCCGCACGCAAGTGTGAGTAACGATCCAAGAGCGAGTCTTATCCGACATTATTCCGATGATATCCCGGACGTCAGTCTGAGCGAGATTAGAATGGCTCTCCAGCACCTTAAAAACGGCAAGGCCCAAGGCGAGGATGGAATTACAGCGGAGCTTCTGAAAGCGGGTGGAAAACCGGTACTTGAAGTCCTTCAGAAGCTCTTTAATTCCGTCCTCCATGGTGGCATTACACCGGAGGCGTGGAGCAGAAGTGCGGTGGTCTTGTTTTTCAAGAAAGGCGACAATGCTCTCTTGAAGAACTACAGACCGATTTCCCTTCTGAGCCGCGTCTACGTGCTGTTTTCGAGAGTCATTACGAATCGTCTCGCGCGCAGACTTGACGATTTCCAGCCTCCCGAACAAGCCGGTTTCCGAAAAGGCTTTAGCATCATAGACCACATACATACCCTTCGGCAAATTGTACAGAAGTCCGAGGAGTACAATTTGCCACTATGTCTGGCGTATGTGGACTATGAGAAAGCCTTTGATTCCGTCGAAATTTGGGCGGTGCTGCAGTCCCTTCAGCGATGCCAAGTTGACTGTCGGTATATCGAAGTGTTGAAGTGTTTGTACAGTAGGGCTACGATGGCTATCCGAGTACAGAACCAGAGTACGAAACCTATCCAATTGCAGAGAGGTGTAAGACAGGGTGACGTCATATCCCCGAAACTCTTTACCGCTGCATTGGAAGATGTTTTCAAGCTCTACCACGTGGTAGAGCCACGCGGCAGCTTTTGCTGTCACACGGATGGGCCGGCTCGAACCGGGGTGGTACCACGACCTCACAGAATACCAGCGTGAAGTAGAGGTTTACCTCTGCGTTTCGCTTGGGGAGTGCAGGTGGCCGGAGGCCCTTTTTACTGGAAATGAGGCATTCCATCTTAGTTCTCACGGGTGGTAACGCATCTGCATTTTGATTCGCAAACGAGGATAGATGTAGATGTCTATGGGCCGCAGCAACCACTTACCATCAGGTGGACTGTGTGCTCGTTTGTCACCCTTATCCTATATAAAAAAAAATGTTTTCAAGCTACTGGACTGGAAAGGATACGGTATCAACGTCAATGGCGAGTACACCACTCACCTTCGATTTGCCGACGATATTGTCCTTATGGCAGAATCGCTGGAGGACCTAAGCACTATGCTCAATGACCTCAATAGTGTTTCCCAACGGATAGGTCTTAAGATGAACATGGACAAAACAAAGATCATGTTTAATGTCCATGTCACACTTATGCCGGTAGTTGTTGGGAACACTAAGCTCGAAGTTGTTGACGAGTATGTTTACCTGGGACAAATAGTCCGACTAGGTAAGTCCAACTTCGACCGAGAGGTCAATCGACGGATTCAACTCGGTTGGGCAGCGTTCGGGAAATTACGATACATCTTCTCGTCAGGTATACCTCAAAACTTGAAAACGA